AATTAGCTGTGATCCAGAGCACTTGGTGCTGGTAGGGTATTAGGGATGACTAGCATTCTAATGGTTCAGTTCGATTCCTTTAGACAGAAAGGAAAGTGGGAGGTGGAGGGAAGAGAAGAGACAGAGACAGGTGATGAGCACTTGATTTGAACCCAGGTCCTCTGACTTTAGGGATAGTGCTCTTTCCACCATACCACAAGTCTAGAATTTCTTCCTTATATAATCTTACAGGAGAAATTATAGTAAACCCAATTTGTCCTTCCAAAGACAATCCTGTGTGTATTTAAAGACAATTGTCTTCTCCCCCTAAATTTCCTCTTCTCTTGACTCAGTATCCCCATTTTCTTCCAGAAATCCTTACACAACATCATGTCAACTGCCCCCCCCTTATCAGTTCCTTTGGATGAATTCATATTTGTTGGTGACTGGCTGAAAAAAATGAGGTGCTCAGCTTTGAGCTCAGTACTATAGGTGGTCTGAACAAGGGTTTTCCATCCTCATCATTTTGAGTACAATGGATCTATTAATGCTTCCCCAAGATAGCAAAGCTCAAAATGTCTTAAGTGATAGAAGCATTATTGGAATAAGTATGGCATCCCCCCCCCCAAAGCCAACTTTAAGGGACAGCATTGATTGGGTCCATAAATTCTCTGCTCTTTCATTAGGACCTGAATATTCTGACCGTTACAGTTATACCTCCTGTGTTTACATGTATATGAGTCCATGCGGATTGATAAAGAGACATCATATTTGTTGTCTTTTGGGGAGCTAAGAGCTGGGTTGGGGAAGGGAGGGAAGCCTTCATCAGATCTCCTGGTCCTGGTTGGCTTTTGGGTGCAGGTTCTGCTCACTACTGGTTCACAGAGGAGAAAGCACTAAACAGGTCATGGAACAAGGATTCCAGCTCACACCACTCTTCCCTGAGAACAGTTAGATATTACAACCCCCCAGCTTTGGTCTGAGTTAGACTGCACCAATGGAAGGTTATGCCCAAGGAGGGACTAGAGTTTGATCTGGGTGGGAATCTAAGATTATTCTTTCAATCTCCCAGGCTTCCTCCATCTCTGGGCTTTGAAGAGCATCTGGCTGATGTGTCTCTTTGGATCTGTTGGTCTAGACTAGCTGTCAGCTATACTCTCACACCACTCTCTACCTCTCTCCCCTTGCAACACCTACCTTCCCATCCCCACCAGTTTATGCCTGGCTAACCTTTCTGACTATTTGCTGCCATGTAACTTTAAAGACTGGCGGGCAGATGTTAGGGTTTTGGCTTTTTCCAAGACTGACTATAACTATGGTTGGGAGGGGCTCTGAGTCAACATTTGGTTAAGGTCTCCCAATGTAATTGCCCCCTGAGAATTGGCACTGTGTAACAGAAAGGGCTTTGTACAGAGTCTGGAATCCTGGGTTCTGGTGTTATCTCTGCCATCTATTCATCACATGACCTTGGGCATTTGACTTCCCCTACCTCAGCCTTAGTTTCCTTCTCTGTCACAATAACAGCTCATATTTCTGGAGCATTTTAAGGTTTACAACATGCTGGCTTCACAGCAACCCTATAGGATGGGTAGAGTAAAATATGATTATCCCCAACTTACAGATGAAGAAATGGTCTGAGAGGTGGATTGACTTATATGAGGTAATGCAGATAATAAGTATTGGAGGTGGGGTTCAAAGTCAGGTTTCTTGTCTCTATCCCCATGATGCAGTAGATAACGTGCTGGCTTTTCAGTTGGAAGACCTAGGTTTGAATTCTAGCTCTGCACTCACTAACTTAGGTAACTCACTTGCCCCGTACAGGCCTCAGTTTTCCTCATCTGTAAAATTAGGGGGTTGAACTAGATAACCACTAAGGTCTTTTCTAGCTTTAACTCTATGCTCATATGAACTAGATTATCCCTAAAGTCCCTTCCAGCCTTCATATGCTATGATTCTGTCATCCCAAAAGGTTAGGAACATAATCCTAATGTAATCCTTCTTTTTCATATTATATCTCATTATTATCATCATCATTTATCTTATTATTCAGCTGTGTCTAATGAAAATAAGTGGGAAGCTGCAAAGGAGCAATAGACTAGGGTGAACCACAGCTGCCCTTTATAGAGATTGGGTCAAAATTCCCATCACTCACACACAATTTAATCAGCTGTGATCCAGGGCACTTGGTGTTGGTGGGAGTATTAGGGATGGCCATGCTTCTAACAGTTCAATTAATTTTTCAAATTTCCTTAAACAGAAAGGAAAGCTGGGGTTGAGGGTGGGGAGCAGGGTGGTGTCAGATATAATGAGAATAGTTGTGCGTTTGGGATTTTGGTTTCGGCAAGACTTGGTCTATTCCAACAGGACACCTTGCAACTAAAAAAAAAAAAGATCAAATAGTCAAGTCTAAGTTGTAGATGGGAGTGGAAAAGACAGAGAGAGACAAAGACAGAGACAGAGAAAATGAGAAAGGGAGGGAGGGGAAGGGAGAAAGAGATAGAGACAGAGAAAGAAGATGGGAGGGAGGGAGTCAGACAGAAAGAGAGAGAGTGGATAATGGGAGAATATCATTCTGGTTCAGCCTCTAGATTTATTTATTGTACTTGCTGTTTATTAAACTCCACAGCAGGAGTGGGCTGGTAAATACATAGGCTGATTCATTAGCATTTCTGGCCATCTGCTTCTCAGAGCCAGGAGCAGGGGGCTGCATTCTGACTCCCCAGGTTAGGTCAGGACTGTGTTTGGCAGAGAGGTTAGATCTCAGTGGTAGCAAGGTTTCAGTCTTCCCAGTGATGGACAGACAATAAGGAGGGGGTGGGGGTGTCAGCTGTGACATCTTTAGGATCCTTGTCCCCACTCTTCGAGGTGGGGGTGGGGAAGAATGAATTTGTACAATGGAAAAAGGAGACTAAGGAGGAGGGTCCAATCTGGTAGCTCCCTTTCCCCTGTAGTAGTCAGTCAGGGGTCCTGATCAAGAGTCCACCATGGTCAGTCTTGTGTTGGGTTTTGAGAGAGTGTCAGAAGACATAGGAAAATGGATAGTGCCAGCCCTTGCTACAATCTGTGCAGTATAAGGCAATTTTATTATACTCTAAGTAATGTTTATTAAGTAGTTGAGAGGGTGCCCTTAGCCTAATACCAATGTGTAGGGTACTGATATTCTAGGATAGTGGAAAAGGGCTTCAGATAAGGCTTCCGGGAAAATTATCCAAAATGAAACATTGCTTCTTTGTTTGTTTGTTTGTTTGTTTGTTTTTTGGCAGTTGGGGTTAAGTGACTTGCCCAGGGTCACACAGCGAGTGTCAAGTATTTGGTCTGAGGCCGGATTTGAACTCAGGTACTCCTGAGGAAACATTGCTTCTTAAAGCCATTGTCTCCCAACCCTTCCCTAACCCTGTGTGCCTTCTTGGAAAAGCCCAAAATAAGGAAGGAAGTGGCAGATCATATATTTAGAGCCGGACAGGACCTTGAAGACCATTTAGTCCAATCCCTTCATTTTACAGATGAGGATCTGAGATCCTGAGAGGTTGTAATTTGCCCAAGGTCACACAAGTGACAGATGCAAGATCTGAATTCATTTCCTCTAATTCCAGAACTAGTACTCCTTCCACTGGACCAGATGGAGCTTGTAAAAAATAGGGCATTGGAGTTTGAGGAACATAGGAAGCAGTGATAGGGAGAGTATCAGATATCCTCTGGACCTAGAGTAATAGTATGTTAATCTCATAAATTCAGTTGTGCTAATAAGAGAGGGTTAGAGAAGACTGATTATGGACATCTAGAGACAGGGCTGTGTCTTTTGCTGCTCAACACATTATGAACTCTATAGTTAGGATGTGGCTTCTGGTCTTCACCTCTACCACTTACTCACTGTATGACCTTAGTCAGCTCACATTCCCCCTCTGGGCCCTGGTTTCCTTCTCTCTAAAATGTCAGGGTTGGACTAAGAATCCTTCTCCCTCTGATAGCTGTTTGATCCTATAAGTCTATGAATTTCAGGCTGGTTAGAGGGTAAGGGATTGGAGAAGGACTATTTTTGTACAAGGGGGCTTTGGGGTGCCCTTTAAAGCATTAGAGCTGAGAGAGGGATGAGCAGTCATCAGGCTTAAGAGAAAATAAAAGCCCTCCTGGGCTACCTATGCCTGGCTATAGAAATTGGGGATTTACCTGGCATCTTGCCTCTCTCCCATCTAGACACATGCTGGTTCCCCATCTCAGGAGTTAATGAGCACCTCTTGCCCCCATATGAGGCAAGCAGCAAGAAGTTTTAATGCTGGGATTCTAGCTGTTCTGTTTCTGACCAAATGAAGGATTTGAAATATTCATCAAATAAGACTGCAAATGGCCTGGGGAGTCAGAGTTTCATGAGTAACCTTTTGAGGATTCCAGTGTGAGTTCACATATATAAAGCAAATAAGAGGAAATAGATTTAAATGGCAATGATAGGGACCAGGGCTAATCTAAGGAGGAAACATACTGCCTGGGATGATTGTCATATTAGAAATATGCAGCCCATGCTTCCCAGGAAATCTACAATAGTGTGAACTTCCATATGCTGGGAGATGGTTTTAGAGGCAACCTAAGAGACAGTATGAGAGCAAAGGGAGCTGGAGGGTGGAGAGACTTTTTCTCAGTGAGTGCCTGGAGCTAAGGCGATGGGATTATTTGCTAGGGGTTGTATGCAGTAACCTGCATTGTTGCACTTTGAGAGGGAAGTAGAAGGACTGATGTTGACCTGCTAACTCTGGAAACTCTGCCCAATACTCTGGTATCTTGGAAATTTTCCCAGCCTGCCAACAGAGGCTGTCCCACTCATTTATTTGGTGTCCTCAAGTACTTTCTGTCCTCTTGTGTTGAGGAAATCATTTTCTGTTAGCTTTGAGAATAGTCATACCTTAGAGCCACAGATATTGGAGACAGCTTCTGGAATAGAGGGGAGGGTGATGCTTGTTCTGTTTCTAGGGGGTCCCTGCTAACAAGCCAACAGCTGCCCTTCCCCTTTCCTCTCCCCCCTCCCCCAGGAAAACCCATACTTGTGCAGTGATGAGTGTGATGCTTCAAACCCAGACCTGGCCCACCCACCTCGGCTCATGTTTGACAAGGAGGATGAGGGGCTGGCCACCTACTGGCAGAGTGTGACATGGAGCCGATACCCAAGTCCACTGGAAGCCAATATCACCCTTTCCTGGAACAAGAGTATTGAGCTGACTGATGACATAGTGGTGACCTTTGAGTATGGTCGGCCCACTATCATGATGCTGGAAAAGTCACTGGACAATGGGCGGACATGGCATCCCTATCAGTATTATGCTGAAGACTGCATGGAAGCCTTCAACATGCCTCCCCGCAGGGTCCGTGACTTGTCCTCTACAAGTGCCAATCGGGTGGTGTGCACAGAGGAGTATTCCCGGTGGGCTGGCTCCAAGAAGGAGAAGCATGTGCGCTTTGAGGTGCGGGACCGCTTTGCCATCTTTGCTGGCCCAGATCTCCGCAACCTGGACAACCTCTACACCAGACTGGAGAGTGCCAAGGGACTCAAGGAGTTTTTCACCGCCACTGACCTGCGCATGAAGCTGCTTCGGCCCGCTTTGGGTGGCACCTATGTTCAGCGAGAAAACCTCTACAAATACTTCTATGCCATCTCCAATATTGAGGTCACTGGCAGGTAAAGCCTGGAACTGAGGGAGTGGTGGGAGGGAGGGTGGAGGCTGGTATAAGAAGTGAAAGCAGATGTTTGATTTGAGGTCTCACCAATATAAATAGGAGTTGTAATTTTGAGAAGTGGTATCTCATCCCACATCATATTGAACTTTTACTTAGCAACTGAATGGCACCCATAAAGGGATGTCAACTGGATTTAATTGGTTTGGTACCAAATGGCTTCCTATTCTAGCATCTTGAGAGATTATCGGAGGTATATGTCAACATAGTCTCAACAGGGGCCAAGTCTATTCCTGGGATGTGAGTCATTAATCTAGGAAGTTAACAATGTCCTGATTATTGGCATATTTCATTAAAGGATCATGGTTCCAATATACATAGATGTTGGATTGCCATCTATAATGACTCCATTTCTTACACTGTGCTGTTTGAAAAAAAGAAAATAACTTCAACAAAGCCTAAATAGGGTTTACTGGGTGGTAGTTGGTTGTTCTATGGTACAATTGGCTAATTGGTTTTTTAAACCACTTTTGTAGTTTTGGTATAGCACTGGGTTGATCAGGGAACCTCCAATCAACTGAATCCCACACAACCTATTCTGTGAAATTTCAAGATTTAAGGGGCAGGTAACAGAGAAAATGAGATATAAGGGCATGCCCCTTTCAGATTGATTTGCAGTCTGAAATATAGTCCAATCCTTCATTTCCCTTCACTACATAGCTAGAAATCTCTTTCAATAAGGAATAAAAGAAAAAGGGAGAAAATTAACCAACATATCAACTGAGTTTGACAGTATATTAAATATTCCACACCCACAGTCCCCCACTTCTGAAAGGAGAGGAAGGAGTGCATCATTTTCTCATCTCTTTTCTAGGTTGACTAATTAGTTTTTATGGTCACAGGAGAAATTAAATTGACATACTTTGACATTCAGTCAACATAGATAGCTTCTTGCCCAAGGAAAGTGGGCTTATGGTGATTTGAACATCTGCACAAAAGCTTAAACAAATTAAGTGTTCTTGGAGTAAATTTTTCCTTCCCTAGGCCACTTGACCAAAGCTGCTAAATTTGAAACTCTACCCAAGCATAAGTATGAACTAGACAAAGTTTATTCTTCAGTGGTCCCTTCCCCCTTCAGCAAACTCTTGGGTGGAAGCTGTTTTACTTACAGCGCATCCTCCCTAGCTTGATACTATGTTGTTGCTCCCATCCAGGGCAACAGAGTCCTGCTAGGATGTCTCCTTTCCCCTCATAAAGCTATTGAAATTCCTCCATCCTGTATCAAAACCCCTCAGGACCAAATTCTTTGTGCCATTCAGGATGACAAATCGCTCATCTGAGAAATGTAATCATGCTAATGGGACAGAGCTAGAGGAGACCCTCCCATAGGACTCTCCATCTCCTCCCAGATAACACATGCATTTAAAGAGGGGCCTTCCACCCCCTTTAATATTAACCCAAAAAAGTAAGCCTAATGGGAGACATTTCATACCAAGTAGAAGAGCACTGTGGTTGATCTGTGGTTAGAATTGTAGGAAGAGGAAGTGAAATAAGGTCAAGAAAACAGAATTCCTGTCTTGAGGTTTAGCTGGGATCTACATTATACCAGCCAGGTCAGAATAGGCAACACTGATGAGCAGGATAGACAGTGTCAGGAAGGACATTGGATACGGTAGGCAGCAGGTATAGGAAGAGTCAAGCTGAACAACATTCAGTGTTTGTAGATGGCTATAAGTCAGGCACACAGGGAGAGTGAAAGCCACGGTCATCTGGTACCTTGGACAGCTCCAGAAATCTTAGCCGTCTCTCACAGAGCCCTAAAGAGGAGTATTAGGACAAAGACCAGTATGCATATGGAAGGAGTGGAGATGGGGAAGGAAAGGTGATGTGACATCTATTTATAAATAAAAATGGATCCAGTCCTTTAACATTATGTTCCAGCTTTCCCCCCCATCACTTAAAATTTGGACAAGTCCCTTCTCTCTGAGATTGTTACCTTGTCTGTAAAAGAAGGGGATTAGCCTACATGATTTTCAACATCCATTCTGTCTCTAGAAATTCTGTGATCAGTTTGTTAGGCTAGTTGAACCCTCCTGCCCCACTGCCCTGGGCTTCACCTGAACCTGGAGGTTCTCATCTCACACTTGGCATGAAGGCCCCTGTGGGCGGCTGGTATTAGTGGTAGTGGTGGCAAAATTACAGCAATCAATTCACAGATAAAGTAAGTACTCTTCTAGTGGCTGGTTGGCAGCACAGATTTTAGCTTAGTGTATTGATTAATTAGATCTGGTTAGATGGTTCAGCATAAGGCAGTGATTTTCTCTGCTTTTCTTTTTTTACCCCACTTCTGGTGGGGAAACCACTACCATTCTAGTTGATATTGGGGGTCCTGGTGGCATCAAGAAGCCATGGGAATGTCAAGCCCAGAAAAATATGGTGGAGAAGATAGAATCTGACCTACTATAACCATAATGTACTCGATCCTTTCCTGGAACCACCGTGAGTCATGTCCCAAACAAAGCCGGGTTGGGCCAGAACCAGGTATTCTCAAGCACTGTATTGCTGAGAATAGATGTGTTCTGTGGGTACCTTCACCTATGCCTGTGTCTTGAAGCTGGTTTGGACACGTTTGGGAGAACCTGATCAATATAGTCGAGGAGACCTGGGTTCTTGCTCCAGCTTAGGCCCTAACTCACCTGTGTGATCTTGGGCTAATTACTTGTTCAAGTAAGGAACCTGGCAAAGAGCACTGGATCTGGAATCAGAAAATGGTTCAAATCTCACCTCTGTCCCTCTCTACTACCTGTGTTACCTTAGGCATTTTACTTCACCTCTCTAGGCCTCAGTTTCTTCATCAGTAAAATTCGGTGCTCTCTAAAATAACTTCAAGCTATAATAACAAATATTCATTTTTTAAAAAAATCAGTTCATAGGTTAGAGTTGAAAGGCATTTAGAACCATCTAGCCCAATCTTTTCATTTTATAGATGAAGAAACTGAGGTTCAAAGAAATTAAGTGCCTTGCACAAAGCAACACAGGTTAGTGACAGAAGTGGGATTTGAGCCCAAGTCCTCTGTCTCTAGATGCAGTGTTTTTGCCAGGGCTTTTCCAGCATTCTGTATTCCATTATATTGCCAGGACTAGCATTCTGTATTCCATGGTCAGCAGCCCCATAAAGTCTATACTGATGGAGAGTCAGTGCCAAGCAAGAGTTATAGCTAAAACCCCTTCATCAGAGCAGGGAAATGTACCCAGAGCCCCAGCCTCCTGTCTTCCCTTCCCCCAGTGGTTTCTAATTGAGTACAGCAATTCAGCATTTTAAATGAGCAGAATCTGGAGGAAACACCATTATTGTGAGAGTCTTGGTGATGGGGACAAAATGAGTGTGCTCTACATGCCACTTCATTTTCCAACTCCATCCCATTATTGTGTCTCCTATGCCTAGAATGCCCTCCCTCCCCACCTCTACCTCCTGGCTCTCCTGGCTTTCAACTCTCAGCTCAAATCCCACCTTCTGCAAGAGACCTCTTCCCTGATACCCCTTCCCCCCTCCACTGCTAGTGATTTCTTCTTAGATTACCCTCCATTTGCATGTATATGTCTTGTCTATACAATTACTTATGTGTTGTCTTCCCCATTGGAATGTGAGCTCCTGGAGGGGAGGAATCATGTTTTTGCTTTTCTTTGTATCCCCAGTGCTTAGCACAGTGCCTGATATATCATAAGCTCTTAATCAATGCATATTGACTGACTGATTGGCTATGACCATTGAAGGCTGGCGGTGCTGATCAGGGCTAATATTACTCAGAAGACTGTGTTACACATGCAGTGATGTGGAATAGCTGGGAGGGCTTTCTAATGCAATCTGTTCAAAGAGCAGAAATTCCCTAGAGTTTTAAGTCAAGGAGTTTTGAGGGGTTTTTTCCTCCTCTTTCCTGGATGGGTAGAGTGGCTTCTTGATCTCCTTCTATCATCATAAGCTTAATGGCCATGATGAAATGGAGAAAGGCAATGACAAGAAGTCAGCTTCCACTTCAGCCCTGGTAGTTTTCTCTTTGGCTGATCAATCCCAATTCTAAGGATTGGTCAGTAGGAGCAGACACTAGGTCTCAGTAACCTTAACAAGATCACCTGGGGCTAGGAGTTGGGGGGGTCTTTTTCTCCAATAAGATAAGGAGCATGAGCTGTCTCTGACAGCCACAGGAACAAGGAAAACAAAGGGAAATATTGAGTGTGAATGGCAGAGACTGTACCCACCTCCACAGCCAGGAGTAAAATCCTGTTCTTCAGGCCGGACAGTCAGGGCATGACCATGCCAGAATATTTCCCAAGAATGGTATTTCCAAGCCCTTCCAGTTAAATATTAGCCTCACATATCCAATCTAACTTCCATCCCCAATGCAGGCACTAGGCATTAAAAAAATACTTTCAATCAAGCTATTGAGGGAGCTCAGAAGAAATCTTTGCACATAAAAAAACCTTGCTAACTCTGGGGGTGATGCCTTCCCAACTAGGCTTTAGCCATGGCCACACTGGCCACCACATTTTCCAGGGTCATCTACTAGGGCATCCACAGCCAGTGGAGAAAAGGCAAGGCTAGAAACTGTCCCTGGGAGTCTGAGCCTTCTAGCTCATCTTCTTCTGTTGTGCTGGTTCCTTTTTCCAGTACTGAGGCCTTTAGCAGCAGATTGAGTCTGGCCTCCAGCTTGCTCTTGTCTATCACAACACTGGATTAGGAGTCAAGAGACCTGGGGCTTGCTATTAATGAACTGTTTGACCTTGAGGGGCTGGGACTAGATGAACTTTAAGGTCCCTTCTACTTTTAAATCTATGATTCTTTGTTTTCAGGTCTCTCCCAGTCTTGACCTTCTATGAATCTGTAGTTCTATGGCTCTAAGATCCTATGATCTGATGACTAGGATTAGGCTTGAAATTGGCAAAGGGAACAAATCTATTGGTGCCCACGTGATGGGGATGCACCTGATTTGGAGAAGGTGTAGGTGC